CGCTCCTGGCCTTACTACTAGGAGCAAGAAGCTACTAGGAACAAAGGGCATTGCTACTAGGAGCAAGGACGCTACTAGAGGTGCTCCTGGCCTTACTACTAGGAGCAAGAAGCTACTAGGAACAAAGGGCATTGCTATTAGGAGCAAGAACGCTACTAGAGGCGCTCCTGGCCTTACTACTAGGAGCAAGAAGCTACCAGGAACAAAGGGCATTGCTACTAGGAGCAAGGACGCTACTAGAGGCGCTCCTGGCCTTACGACTAGGAGCAAGAAGCTACTAGGAACAAAGGGGCATTGCTACTAGGAGCAAGGACGCTACTAGAGGCGCTCCTGGCCTTACGACTAGGAGGAAGAAACTACCAGGAAGAAAGGGCATTGCTACTAGGAGCAAGGACGCTACTAGAGGCGCTCCTGGCCTTACTACTAGGAGCAAGAAGCTACCAGGAACAAAGGGCATTGCTACTACGAGCAAGGACGCTACTAGAGGCGCTCCTGGCCTTACTACTAGGAGCAAGAAGCTACGAGGAACAAAGGGCATTGCTACTAGGAGCAAGGACGCTACTAGAGGCGCTCCTGGCCTTACGACAAGGAGCAAGAAGCTTTGTCTCTTGTTTGATCTTGTTTGTGATCGATCGGCTCTCAGTTGGACGCCATCCCGAGGCGCCGATGAGGCGACCCTGGAATTCCAGGAGGCAGCGCTTTTGGTGGGCGCCAGTGTGACAGCCCGGAGACCTGGCGTCACAGCTGAGGTGAGGCCTGTAGCAATGCTATGGAATGCTATGGCATATGGTAGTTGATGGTCAGTTGGCAGTAAAGGCAACATTTCCTCAATGACCTTAATTTGTTCTATTAGGTTGGAGGCCATCGCTTCTAGTTTGGAGGCCATCGCTATTCGGTTGGAGGCCATTGCCACTAGGTTGGCGTCGCTAGTAAGATTCATCAATTCTAGCTTTTTTTTGCGCTTTAGTTACTCACTCCCAGGTGGTGGGAGAGTTGCACCGCGGAGTGGACGGCCAACTCTCCCTGAGGCTTGGCCTTCAGGGGAATGAACAACAGACGCCCACCCACACCACAGCATCCCCTGTCACTGGTATCTATATCAATGCATTTTCATTTGCTTTGCTTTGCCGGCTTTGCAATTTTCTTTCTTTGCACTTTTTCTCTCTCTCTCTCTAGTTCTTTCCTTTTTTTGCTCTTCTTTCTCCGAGAGGCCTTGGCAGGGCGACTCCGCCCGTTGGAGAGCGAAGAAGCTTCGGGAGCCTTGGCGTGTCTTGGCGGCTCAGGATCGGCCTGCACCGCTGGTTCCATCGCCGAAGCGTCGCCGAAGCGTGTCGAAGCGTCGAGATAAGACCCTTGTTTCTAATAGCTTCTTGTTACTAGTAGTAAGGCACTTGTTACTACTAGCGTGGCACTTGTTACTACTAGTAAGGCACCTGTTACTACTAGCAATCTTAAATCGTTTTGTACTGGTCACGTTTGTTTTTTGTCATTGTCAGTTGTCCTTCAATCGTTGCGAAGAACGAGTGATTTTCGCCCACATCGTCAAAGTGTCCACTTGCTGAGGTACCTCGTGGGAGCGCGGTGATGAGAAGGGGCCACTGAACGGCTGTTTCGAAGTTGGTCGCAAGGTATTGACATGGAGGTTGAAACATGGCGCCCTTTGCAATTGAGTGCTAGGGTCTGCTAGGTGTTGCAGTGCCAAGCAGATCCAATTAACGGAAAGAACATATAATTTAGCATAAAGTATACCGATGTATTACCGATGTATACCATGTTCGATGGACATTTCTTCGGTCCCTTTGGCTGTCGACCTCTTCAGGCGAGGTCGGTCCTTTTCGCCAGGCGATCGGCGCCAGATATCTTGAAGCAAAAGGCGCCGAACGAGCTGGCAGATTGAACCCACCCCCAGAGCGATCAGCCTCCAACCTAATAGGAATGGCCTCCAACCCACCCAGTAGCGATGGCCTCCACCCTACTGTAATAGCGATGGGTTAAACAGGACGAGTGACAGTTCTTTCCTTTTTGGAGACTGATCTAAGGACGCTACGAACGGGGCTCCTGGCCTTACTACTAGGAGCAAGAGGCTACTAGGGGCTTTTGGCATCGCTACTAGGAGCAAGGACGCTACTAGGAACAAGACGCTACTAGTCAGTGATCTGGAGATTCTCCGGGTGCGATCTGCGAGGTCTTCATCAGCGACGATGAACAGCTCTTGTCCACCAAGGATCCGGAAGTGGAGGGTGCCCCCCCTGAGATCTCTTTGAGCCGAACCCAAAAAACAGTTCAGCTGTTTGGGCCTCCAATGCGCAGTTGCTGACTGAAGGGAATCTGAAGAAGATAGGCAGATAATGGCAGATATGATATGCACAGTTCCGCTGGTGCTCCGCCAGGGAAACTACGCGAATGCGCCAGCGGATTGGGGAACCTCCTTGGATGAGAGGCCTTGGGCCAGTGGGGGGGCATGGTGGAAGTAACTTTCCCTGCAAAGACTGGAGGTCAGTTGCGTCCTAGTTCAAGAATAAGTCCTCTTTCCTTCAATTTTCTTTCCGCCCACGTGATGACCAGGTTTGCGTGCCGATTTGAATCTTCAGCTTTCAGTGAGGGCCGGGGCCGCTAAATTCAAAGGCCATAGGGTCGTTTGTACAGATTTCCGGCTGCATTGAACGCAGAAGCATGATAGGTCATGAAGTCCTGCGGCAAGCACGCAGTTTAGCCGGTTGCATTATAACTACCCGCACGACAACTTTCATCGTTCCACCCTTACTCTCACTATGACATCACTGGTTGCTTCATCCATGTAGCTTTGCCTGGCAAGTTCTTGCGAATCTTTGCTGTTGCACCCGATCATGAGGCAGAGAGCTGTGCTCGGCTGCGTTTGTTGAGCAGTGTTCTTGATGTTTGTTGAGCTGTGCACTAATGATCCTTCAGCTGTTGCTGGGAAGTGTTTGCTGGTTTATTGCTCCGCAGTGCGCTGGCTGACACAACCGTTGATGGTGTGGCCATGCCTCGCCGTTGCCAGAGACGAAGCTGTGACAGGAGATTAATCTGAAAATCGATGCAGACATTGCAGCAAACCCGACCCCAACACAGCACCGCCCCCCTGGGCCCCTGGGATGCTGGATGAATCAGCTGATATTCCACACAGAAACAGAGATTTATCAGATTTGAATCCCCAAAAGTGTGGATTATGTCGGCAGGAGACCCCAAACAGAGTGTCTAAAGGTAGGTCCAGAGGTGCAGAAGCAGAAGGTCTAGTATCTAACGTTGGGCTGCAGAGAGGGGTGGTGGTGGTGGTGGTGTCATTACTGGTCACCTTTCGACCGTCCTTGTGCGTGGCCGATACAAGCTTGAAGGTGTAGGCCTGGTGGCCTGTCAAGGCCGGCCATGGCGCCGTTGTCAAGCACATCAGAAACCAGGAGGTGATGCTTTGGCCTAAGGAATTGGTCCGTTGACAGTTCCTGCCCAAGTCTAGTTGCAGCCCAGCACAACTCTCAGGTGTGAAGTCCAGATGCATTCTCTTTCTGAAGTCAATTTTTTATGTTTAACTTGGAATCCTGGTATTTGCTACACCCAGTAACTATTTTTTGATTTTTTATTTTTTTGTGAAATTTTCACATCTGGATTTGTTTGACCTTTTAACTTAATTTTTTGAACATTTTTTCAATATTGTGTACATGGAAATGTTCAAAGCATCCAGAAAAATGGAATCGGATTATAAATACACCTATTGTTTGATTGGTTCTTGTTGCCAGCCGGTGTACTAGCCACATGTGTTGGCCACATTGGGCTAACCTTGTGAGCCAGCTTCCTGGCTAGCCTTGGGCCTATAAGTATAATGTAAAAAAACGCATAGAATTGCGTTTAGTGATCCGTTCGCCAAAAATCAACAGTTGTTGAAGTGCAAGTCAAACACTTCGTAGGATTCCACAGCATATGGCAGTCACGTATGCTGGGCTTTCCGAAGTTCTTCATCCAGATGGTTGCAGTTCATGTAGTAACTACACAAGAGTTCCAAGAGCAAAATCCGTAAAACCGTAATCCATATTTCTTTCATGAGCTTGTTTCAATCGTTTTCATTCAGGTTCCAACTCAGCTTTTTCCGACTTCCCATCCCACCAGCACAAGGGTGCCTGGAAACCGAAATCAGACTTCACCTGATTGTGCTTGTTTACTCATGTGCATTGGGATGCATTGAGGGTCAGCACTTGTGCCAACCCCCCCCAACGGACTTCCAAATCATACCGCAGCAATTTTGTGACTGCAAGACTTCGCTTGGAAGCATGCCAACAGCAGCGGCAAAGTGCCGTAGTCGCTTCACAAGGCTTGTGAAGAAGGTGGTAGACAAGGAGCTGCGAGCAAGGGCGGCGTTGGCGGATTTCGAATGAAAACGTTCCAGAAGGCTTGCCGTAATATTGAATGTTTGCGGCACTTGCGTGAAACAAGGTATTTCCAAGCCAGCGTTGAAAATGCAAACCCATATCTTGAAGGAAGTCAGCGGGTTGCAACAAAATGCGCTAATAAGCAAAACCACTATCTTTACGTTGCTTTCATTGGGAAACGACGTTGTTCCTTCTACATCAAGGTCTAGCTGCGTACTTTCACAGGACTTCGAGCGGCAACGCTCCGCCTTCGAGCAGCAGCGGTGGCAGTACCAGTGGCCTTTCTTTGACTTCGATGGCGCTTGGCTTTGCGCCGCCGCCACCACCGCCACCAAGTCGATGGCCACCGATGACGCTCACGAGTCCAGCTCCTTATGGTGTCCCGGCTGGCTTTGTAAAGCCGCAGGTGCCTTCAGGATTTAGGCCTTCTGGAATTGGTTTGATGATGCCTCTTGAATGGGGAAGCTTCCGGAGACTCACTGGAAAAGTAACTGTTACTCCAGTGTGTTCCTATTGGAATAGAATACCGGTATACAGTTGAATGAAGTTTACTTCATCAGCATTTCTTTGGGTTACCAATAGTTAGCATAAAATTATGGATTGTTTCGTCGTGAAATAGTCTAAAATTCGGGATTGCCTTCTCCATGTCCATGCATTTTCTCATTTGTGCGTTCAAGAGGGGCCTTCCGAGTTGCTGGGCCTGCATGTCCACCCTCGAGCCGCCAGCGGCGGTGTCTGAATGGATTTGTTTTATATAGTCGTTAAAACCGTTGACGCCTGTGGAGCTTTGTGCATGTTGTAATAGCAGCAGCCCACCAGAGCGTAACCAACTTGAGGGCAAGAACTCGAGGCCTGAACAGCGTGGGTACAACGGCCCAGCTTCTCGAAGCGGTCCGTACCCTTGACGCCAACGATCCTCAGGGGTGTCACCGGTCCATTTGAGGACCGAGAGAGGCGGAGCGCGTCAGAGGGCGCGTGCCAGAACTCTAGGTTTGATGAGATATATGCGTTTTGAGTATATAAGAAACATATAGGTGTGTGGATATTCTTTCTTGAATGTGCTTGTCTGCTCATTCAGGACCTTCTTCTGAAGCGCATCTTTTACACCTCGCTGAATCTTCAGTGCTTGCAGCGCCTCGACGTTGTGGAAGGAACATCCGGGGGTAGTGGTGGTGTGGATCTGGTCACTGTATAGAGGGCCTCAAGCCATCGAGCCACGCTAGCCAGAAGATCTTCCAAACAATTTAGCGTTTTTGAAGTTCGATGTCAGCCAGAGGTGTTGTAGGTCACAAATACCATGCGTAGGCCTGTATATGTTCACAGGTTTTGCAAAAGTAGACGTTCGGCAAGACGGCGCCGCCCGAACACATATCTGCGTATATACTTCCCATATCTCCATATACGTCTCACCCATAGAGACAGTATTTCATGGTTTTTGTGTTTTTGTGTCAAGTCACGTACCTGATAACCTCCGTCTTGCTGCCAAATGTACTGATATACATTCTTTCAGGCTACTGAACGGTGATTGGTAGCGGAAAATGGTTCGCAGACTACCTTCTTTCAGGCTACTGAACGGGGATTGGTAGCGGAGAATGGTTGTCAGATAGGGAGTGGAAGCAACAAAGCGAATACCTTATTTCTGGCTACTGAACGGGGGTTGGTAGCGGAGAATGGCTAGCAGATAGGGAGTGACTTGGCAGTAAGGCTTGCCTTCTTGGGATGTGCCCTGTCCGACAGGCGTGCAGGAACAGATTAGCGTTGTAGGCCTGCAAGTGCAGTGGACTCTTGATTGAAACTCGCTGTTGAGTAGTTGCGCATACTCATAGTTTTATAGAGCGCAAGGAAGAAACCTTGTACTGTGCACCATGTGTCTAATATGATATCCGACGAGTCGGTGTGACCTGCTAGCCAAGAAAATCAATTATGCTTGAATGGGAAACAGCCCCACGCAATTCCAAGTTACAGTTGACGTGTGTGCATTCTTATAGTCGTTCGGCTCCAAGCTATAGCAACTTGAAAGAGAAGAGCGGAGATGTATGGAACTTGCGCTGGCTCAGCCTTCACATGAGTCAGTGCACGTTCATCAAAGCTTGGCAAAAGCTTATGGATGCAAAGCAACGGATCACTTTGGGTTTGAACTTTCCATTGCAAGTCTTGCGGGGCATTTACTTGGCATTCCTGCGATGTGTTTCGGTCCCATAATGAATATCGACCCTAGCGTGGATGTGGCAATGGGGCGCGCAGGTCTCATTGTATTTCAAGACCGTTCCTTACACGGTCTAGGTCTGTCGATTCATAGCCAGCTGCCAATGCTGTCTAAACCAAGGTTGTAGGCAATCTGGAAGTTTTGCCCGTGTTCCAGGCAAAGACTTTGTTCTGAGTTGAGTAGCAGACATACATGTTCTGCACGACTTGCGAGTTGGCAGGTCCGGCGACGCCTTTGGAAAAGGAGTGCTGAGTAAAGGAGCACCTTGAGTGCAAAGCAGTAAGTTGCTGTGGCGGGACTACCTTGATCGACCGGTTCGGAGTTGGTGTGATCTAGCTGAAAATGCGACTGTGAATGTTCGTCCATCCGCTGGATGTTGTTTGGTCTAGCTATATAGCTAAGAGTAACATGTGTTCCATGTTTTTCATCACTGCTTTGTGGGTGTGGGGCAATTGGGAGCGTTCCAGGTGTGCACTCATGTTGGTGATGATGGTTGTGAGGTGGTGGTGGTGGTGGTGGTGATGGAGGTCCACAAGCCAAGAGGTCTTGCGGTGGAGAGAGATGTCTAAAGTCTAGCACGCATATGAAAGGACACATAAAAACACGCGTGTGAGAGCGCGTGCGCGTGAGAGCGCGCATCTGAGGGCGCGTGTGTTACGATCTGTACTTCAAGGTTCGCAATTCTTCGCCACACACGCCGCGAAATCTGCACTTCAAGGTTCACAAAGTGCTGCGCCTGCCACGAAATCTGTGCTTCAAGGTCCACAAAATACTTCGCCTGCCACGATGTCAGCGCTTCGAGATTGACACGTGCAGCTCTGGCAAGGCGTTTCGCAGCAAGAGCGCTTCCAAAAGACAACCTCAAGACGCCAAACCGCAGCTTTCGCTCGATATTTCCGCCGACTTCTGAGAACGAACCACATGTCCAAGAGTCATGACTCACTGCACCTGCCACGAAGTCAAAGCACGCCAAAGACCAGCACGATGTCCAAAGCAATGCGCTTGCCACGAAATCTGCACACCAACGTAACACATACCTGTCGCGAAGTCGGCTTTGGATCACCGCTTGCCTTGTGCCTGCCATGAAGAGGGGTCACCTAGTCCGAAGATGTGCAACGACGCCGCAGCAGTCTCGAAGAGCACCCGCGCCAGCCCACCAGATTCTGCGAGCCTGCTCAGTCAAAATGCACTTCGAAGATCTTGAGGTGAATGAACGCACAGTGAATAGCAGCGAATTTGCCGGACGCGCCCGTGAGGACCTTCAATCAGACACCCGGCCCTAACCATTACCGCAAAAAACCCAAATTGTCGCCAAACTGTTTGGGGCAAACAAGCCCCCTAAACGCAAGATTCACAGCACGCAGAGCTATAGGCCATAAGTGATGCCGTTTGTTCCGAGAGGATTTGTAGGAAAGCGTTCATGCTCAAAGGCCGCCTGAGTGTTGTGGAGCGGAGCGAGGTTGGCTCGTGTTCTCTGATGCACTCGTAGCTGCTTGAGTGCATGCGGTGAATTGGCTTGCAGCCTTTCCTCACAAATCTGGAAGGGCCTTGGTTTTCAGTTGGCTAGCCCACATACGGGTGCTAGCTGGGTCGCTTTGCTTGGCTTTTGGCTCACAGCTTTGCGTGCAAGCAGATCGTACAAGCCACAAATTGTCAAGCAGAACACGTCACAAACTCTCAAAACGGAAGGCGTGCCCCCTTCTATTTCATGATGTTTCATAAATCTAGCTAGATGGTTCCATCAGTGAGAACCATAATCACCGCCCCCCTTCCACAGAGCCATGAACATCACGCTTTCACCGAAACGCGGCCCGTCACACCATGCGATGAGCGAGTCCTCGGAGCCATGCCAACGCTTCGAATCCAACATTTTCAGGCGGGGTATATCCAGAAACGTGGATCGTGGATTGCTCAATTCGAATCATTCATTTTTGATCGGGATATCCAGTTTGCAAATGGCAAGGCGAGAAAGATGCAAACATTGCGGGAAGCAATGGCATATGCCTGGTGCCTAACTGCGGCGGGGAATTCGCTGTCAACTTAATGCCCCGTATGGTAATGGAATTCTTAAGCTGTTTCATGGCATGCGACAAGCGTTGCCCATTTGGATGGTTGTACAAAGGACCGTTGCCAGACCCTCCCTTTTGTCCCTCTCCAAGTGTACCGGTGGCCCACGCCAGTGGTGCCTTTTCAGCGCCGAGGCACCCAGATGCTGCGTTCGAAGCCTCGCAGTTGGCGCACTTCCAAGCGCAGGTGCTCCGGCATGCTCCGGTGCGCAGGTTTCTCCGAGTAGAGGCCATTGCTCTTAGGTTGGAGGCCATTGCTATTTCCCATAACTTACGGTCCAAACCGAGCAGTAGCGGCATCATAATAGCCCCGAGAAAGAGAAAGTGTGACAAGACCTATGTGTTGCGTGTGCGCCATGGCCAAAGCGTGTGCTTGGTTAAAGCTCAGGTGAACCGGGTGAGCGCAGCCCCACCGACTGCGAAGAGCAAAGCCAAGGTGGGACCGAGGAAAAGGGCGGATCACCCTCAACGTCGGCCAACCAAAACCAAAGTCACAATCTGGTTGTGGAGTCGTGGAGTCGTGTTGTTCCTAGTAGTGATGCCCTTTGCTCCTAGTAGCGTCCTTGCTCCTAGTACAGCAAAAGTGACAGAGAAAGGACAGAATTCTGAGAGAATCAAAGCCCTTCGGAGAACCCAAGGCATGGTGACGCCTTCAAGTGACTGTCCTCGACGAAGCGAGCGAACCGAGAAGCGAGAAGCGAGGCTCGAGCGACTGGAGCTCCTGAGTGGCTCTATGAAGGCGAAGATGTCAAGGTGCAGGGCCGGGTGTGGAACTCCGGGTGTTTGCAAAGCTACTAGTACCGTCCTTGCTCCGTTCGTAGCGATGATGCCCCTTGTTCCTAGTAGCTTCTTGTTACTAGTAGTAATGCCAGGAGCTACTAGTAGCTGTTTTTTCTCCTGCGTGTACTGAACCCCCTTCCAGGATGTTATGGGAATTTAGCCAAATACAAAATTCTTGTCACATTGCCTAACTGGGTGGTGCAGTCCAGCCACCCCAAAATTCTTTGAGAAAGGTGTTTCTATAATGTTCGCTTTCAGGGGCTCCTGGCCTTACTACAAGGAGTAAGGACGCTACTTGGGGCTCTTGGCCATACTCCTGGGAGCAAGGACGCTACTAGGGGCTCCTGGCCTTACTACTAGGAGCGCTAGTCCTTTTGAATGTTTCTTTAGGACCTTTTTGGATTCAAGGCATGCAAAGCACGGTGAAACATGGCGTCTCTGCTCAGGAGAACTCCAGCGGCTCAGAGGATGCTTTCCGGATGTTTGCGGGCCAGGATGCTCCGGATGTTTGCGTTTGGGTCGGTCGTGGGCGGGTTTGGAGTTATTGAAGTAGACAAAAGGCAATGACCTCCAACAATAATTCAAATTATTGGACATTTCAATCCATCACATCATTTTTGTATGTCATTGCGGTTTGCAACCTTTCTTTGTTCCTTTCTTCCTTTTCTTTTTGTCTATTGAACATGGCCTCCAACCTAAGAGCGATGGTCTCCAACCTAATAGCAATGGAGTGATTCTGAGTCATTCTCTTGCTTTCCCAACTCAAAACTGAATAAAGGCTCTGATGCATGATCTTTTCCAAACTGGTAACGTTGAAGACCTGGAACAGCTAGGTCTCGTCAAGTAGCAAGGCATTTGTTGGGCGTCTCACCCACAAAGGGCACTGAGATCCCAGTCACAGGAGTTGGATGCCTTCACCCGCTCCTCCAGCACCACCTCAGCAGTGAAGGCCGACGAAACCGAAGACTGTGACGAGGATCCAAATGGTGAAACGTGAAGATGGGACTGAGATTGGAGGCGACGAAGCCAGAGCACCGATTGAGACAGCCTTCGGGAAGAAACACCGTCTGAGGGATTCTGACGGAGTCAGATTCTCTTCAACCCTTTCGGCATTATTCTGCCACCCATCCGCTGCAAGGTCACTTAGACGGATGACCATTGACCATCGTCCGTACCACAAGCGATCGTGGCTCCGGACGCAGATTGTGAATCTGGTGGACTTTGAGGAGTGCAACGTGGCCAGTCCCAGGACCAGCACGGATAGCCCAGATCGACAGGAGTGACACGGGGTAGGAGGGACACGGATGTGGATCTAGCATTGTTTTTGGAACCTTTTACTGTACCTGAAGCCGACATGGGCTGCGTTTGATGGTCACGGTTTGCCTCAACATTTCTGGTTGGGATGGATTGGGTGACTTCTTTTAATGTTGGCGGAGGCAGATGTTTCTGCTACAGCCACCTGCTAACTTGTGAGTATCATTCGCTGCAATGCAGTATAAAGTAGTTTATATTTTTCTCCGTGAGAAGTGCAGGTGAAGCGTCTTCAGCCTCCTCGTTGGTGGTTGGCAGCTCTGAAAGTCTGAGAATTGGGATGTGTGCGTGGGTGTCACCGAAGATATAGCAGCTGTCTAAAGCTTGATTCTTGTTCATAGCTTCCACACTTTTGGACCTTGACCGCAGTGTTTTTGGCAGGCAATTCATTCCCCTGGCATCAATTGGCGCATCATTCGAATCAGAGAGAGAGAGAGAGGGAACAAATTGAATGTCTTGTGCTCTGTGCTGTGGGACTTGGAATTGCAGTTTGTATGACCCTCCACCCTACTAGCGATGGCCTTCAACCTAAGAGCGATGACTACGAGCGATGCGATGATGGCCTCCACCCTAGTAGCAATGGCCTCCAACCTGCTAGCGATGGCTGTCAACCTGATAGCAATCGCCTTCAACCTACGTACTAGCGATGAAAAACATGGAGTGTACATTGCACATGGAGTTGCTGACGCTTTTCGGCTGCAGTGCTTCTGAGGCGTCAACCCCCCGTCCTGTGGAAGGCGCGGCCGCAGCATAACGGGCCCATTGGGACACGTAGCTTTGGACACTAAGGCGAAGATAGGCAACAAAGGTGGTGTACATTTTGCAGCATGGAGGCCATCACCAATAGCTTGGAGGCCATTGCTATTAGGTTGGGGGGCCATCGCTCTTAGGTGGGAGGCCGTCGCTATAGGAAACGAAGGACAAAGAAAAGGAAGAAGAACGGTCCAATTTTGCCACATTCTGCAGTGCCTGCAAGGCCCTGCAGTGCCTGCAGGTGCTGCAGCACCAGGCTTCACAATGCCCATGAGGCCGGCGACGTCGAGGTTTGGTTTTATGGAGGGGCTCCATATGAACATTCATATACGATGGCAATCGGAATCAGTACGTTTTTGCTTGTTTTTGTAACTTTTGTTCCATGCGCAGCTGGTTCTGGTCTAGGATTTGCTTGGCATTTTGTGCTTGAATCGTGCTTGCCTATGTCTCAACCCAACCCAGAAGTTTCAGATTTGTTTGGTTCAGTAGTTTCTTGAAGCGGCCCTGCTTGCCAGGTCCAAGAATGATGTGCTCCTGGAAGAGATCCAATTCCTGCGCCAAATGCTGGCAGATGCAAATGAGGAAAAGAGGATCCAGGCAGGATACATCGAAAGAAAGAGTAGACGGTCTGAATTTGACGGTATTTTTTCCTTGCCAATTGTAGCCCAAAAATGAGCTGATCATGATCCACATGGTCAGCAAAGCAAGCGCCGCTCCGCAAATTCCAGTCTTTACCTGGCCAAAGCATGCCAAAGCCACAGAAACAACTCAAAGCACCTCAGCTTGGCCACTGGGCACAAGTCTAGCGCATGTTTCTCCTTGGCCTTTGCGGCAGGTGGCCATCATTCGGGACGAGGTGGTCGAGAAGCAGCGCCTCATCGACGAGCTCCGGCGGCAGACCTTTACCGCGGAGGCGCGTTACGGAGGTCATGGCACTCTTGGACGTGTTTTGAGGGCGAGGAATGGAGCTCCAGCGTCCGATCGCTCCGTTCGTAGCGATGCCAGGAGCGCCGTTCGTAGATTCCTTGTGAAAGGAATGGAGAGGGAAAGGAGAGGGCATGGAGAGGAGAGGCTTTGCCACCAACATGTCGAAAAGGGGAGCCGAACTGGCCCTCACCAATCGGCACAAACGAGGTGCAAGGGGAGCCTTTGGCATTTTGTCCTGTTCAAGGTTTTTGGTTCTTCGATGTGATCAGACACGAAGCCGAAGCTTTTGCCAGGGAGGTTCACAAGTGGCCGTCAATTGCTATCAATTGATGTTTGTGATTTATGAGTCAAGTTTTGTCTTATGCAATAAAGGGCGATTTGTTGTGTTTGAATTGAAGCAACCTTTTTATTGGTTGTTTTCAATTTTTTCAACACAGCCGGGCAACGACTCCTGGCAGACACTCACTCCAAGCTTGACAGGCACGGCTACAAGCCATGCCCGGTCTTGAGGCGTCCGAAAAACGGGCAGTCAGAGCTGTAGGTCAAGGGTGTAGCAGACTCCACATGGCTGCTTCCAACAGGCAAGTTTAACCCATATAAAAGACGAAGTAAAACTCAGTCGCAATTTCAGGACTATGATTCACTAGCAAAGACCATGTTATATTCAGCTCATTTTTCACACACCTATCTTGTTCGATCTCCGCTTCTACGCGCCGTTGTCGTTCCTTCGCCTTTTCCATCAAGGACTTGAAGTGGAAATCGTCCATCACACTCACTACAGGAAGGAACGTACGATGATACAGGTGCCAAAATAGCTTCAAACCAATTGTAAACCGTAAACCAGGCTAGCCTTGCAAACATCACGGGCAGAACTGTTTTGTGGCAGCCCAACACACATCAAAATCATTCCTTATCTCAGGAATGCACCTGGGCACGCACACTGAGAAGTTTCAGCTTATGCCCAATATTTCTTTCCGTTTGGTGCGATCCAAAAAATTGCATTTAACTTATTTTGCCAGGAGACTTCCTCAAAACTTAAGGTCAGGCATTTCACGTGCCTTTCTCGCATAAACACGGCGTTTCACGCATAAACATGGTCCTTCACGCGGATTTCACGCACAAGAGTCCATGACCGTGACTGTGCCCATAAGGTGTATGGTGTAACCATGTGTCACACTTGTGATGTGTATTTCATGCTTCTTTCACGCCATAAGAGGATAGACACTTCTTCAGTGCCATTGGAGGACAACCAAGGAAGAGAGAAACAAACAGTGAACCCTGAAATCCGGGAAGTTTCGTGCTGGACACCGCGTTGTAGTGATCTTCAAGATGCCGATTGTTTCTAAGTTCTCTTCTTTTTTGATGTTCTATGCAGGACGCTTGAAAAGCTCCCAAAGTATGTTCTAAGTTTCGCTAATTTACTATAGTTTGGAACAGTGTTACCGTAGTATGCCCTGAAGTAAAACATTGGTCTCAACAAGTAGTAAAACATGGTGCTCGTCCAGGCCCAAGTTTAACTCGGCGCTTGACGCCTAAGCCATATGAAACATCATACTATATAGCGAATTATAGCGTGAGAAAATCGGTGAACATACATACAATCAGAAACGTCAAGAATTCCAACATAAAGTACCCGTCAGCGAGGGCAGATGATTCTGAACCAACTCCATGCGGGTAGGAGGTGGTGAACATTTCCAAACACACTTGAAGCAACAAAATCATCGAAAGCAGCTACCAGGTGGGCCGAATTGAAAGCCTCGAGGCCACTGGGAGGGTCTGCCGAAGCTGTAGTCATGGTAGTGGGATCTGCCAATTGAAATAGGGCAGCATCAAAAAAACATGCAGAAAGACAAATGTTTGTCCTCTTGCGAAGTGAGGTCGGACACAAGCTTGTCGAACAAGGAGTTGAACTGGTGGGGAGAGGTTGGCTGAGTTCATGCACCAGGGACCAGTCACCCAATTCGTTCAGGCGGACTTGGAGTTGGCCACTGCTCAGGCGTGGACAACTTTGTGGTGCAGGTTGTTTCTTTGGATACTATGGGCGTTGAAGCATGTTGAGAAGAGGAGCATCTGAAGCGTAACCCTTGCGCTCCAGCTTTGCAACACAGTCACCTAACGACGAACGCTCATTCGTTCAGTCATCGAGTTCTGGGAAGAAGTGGAGTTGTGGACCGTTGGAGACGACATCCACGGTCGTCAGGTCGCCAGCTTGCACGAGCGATGCGGCGACCTCAGAGTTGGGTGGTGGGTGGGCGCTTGTGATTGTAGACCAGGAGGCTCAATGAATGAGCCGTTTCATTACATCAGAAAGGATAGCAGGGCCGTGATGGAGGAAAACAATGAAAAACATGTCTTTTTCTTCAATAATCTTCGGTTCTACTAGCTGACGCCGGAGGGTAAGAGAACTAAGGCCGGGAATTGGAGAGTGCTGGCCAACTCCACGAGGCGTTCTGGGAATTGCGATGCCAGCGTCCTTCAAGAGCCCCGAGTGGCTTCTTGTTACTAGTAGCGATGAGCCCCTAGTAGCGTCCTTGCTCTCCTAGTAGTAAGGCCAGGAGCCCCTAGTAGCTTCAAGAACAGGAGAGCACTCACCATAGTCCTGAATGAGCAACGCCAGACACTGCAGAGGCCGAGAGTCTTCGACTGAAAGGCAAGTTGGACTTTTGGGAGGCCCGAACTGCAGCTTTGCGAATGACAACTGCCTGTAGGAATGACTACATACTGTATATAATATATAGTGACTAGTCCATCACCAGTCTATTTAGTCCACAACATGAATGGATGCTTGGAAATGCAACGACCTGGACATGCACCCGAACAGCTTCGGCGTGGGTGTGTCCCTTCCCATCAACTGGTATTTTGCAAGGTGCCCGACTCATCACTTGCGGATGTCAAAAGTGAGCCCGGGATTCCGAGTTGTCGAGTTGGGGTTTCTCTGGGATTTGGGAGGCCAAATAATTGTGGGTACGGGAGATGGAATTGGTGCGTGAAGCCGCCAGCCCCATGGACCCAAGAACGCTACTAGGAGCAAGAAGCTACTAGGAGCAAAGGGCATCGCTACTAGGAGCAAAGACGCTACTAACGGCTCTTGGCCTTACTAATTACTAGGAGCAAGAAGCTACTAGGGGCTCCTGGCATCGCTACTAGGAGCAAGGACGCTACTAGCCGCATGGATCCAAAGAAGATTCTGCTCCAACGGCACCTTGGAAATTTGTTTTGCTGCTCGTGCTTTTGAGTTGGACCCTACTATTTCTTCGACAGGACGTGGAGAGAGGGTTATGAGTCAAGCACGGAGAAAGAGCAAACATTCCGATATCTCGAGCTGGTTTCATGAATTTCATGAGCCTACTTGGAGATTTACACATTTCCTGAAGGTAAACATCGCCAATTCGCGAATTTGAACCTTTCATGAAGCAAAAGATCAGCTGGCTTGAGGCCGGCAGTCCTGGGCTGGGAGTCTGCGCTGCGAGAGGCGCTTTTAGAGCACATGATGGGAGACTGAATTCGCCGTTGGCTGCGTTTCGGTATTTGCCCTTTGTTCAGTGAGATGTTGGAGGTTGGAAGCCAAGCCATGCACTGATCAAAGGGCGAGCTGATCACTTGGTACTCGTAGAACTCATGAGTTGGCAGTTCACGCATTTTGGTACCATCCATGCCAGGACTGGAATTTGCTTCGCTACTAGGAGCAAGGACGCTACTAGGGGCTCCTGGCCATACTACTCCCTACTAGGAGCAAGTAGCAACAAGCTACTAGTGTGTTCCTCACCGAAGCTCGTCGGCGAGGCATGCCAAAGCTCCTTGCAACGCCTCGCTGACCGACGGGTCGCGCTACGCGTGGCCAGCTACAAGGACTCGTCGACGTGGCCAGGGCGGTCCAGGGAAGCACTTGGACTGAGAGCTGGCACACAGCGAAAGCTTCTGAAAGGTAAAGGATCAGATTCTCCAAAGTCCTGCTTCTATTGCGTTTGTGCATTGTGCACCGTGAGAGTGTCCCTGCGGGACAGCTGTGCCACAGCTAGACTCTGCAAGAAGAGCACCAGCATTTGCACTCTGGCGACATGGCAGGAGGTGGCGGTTTGCAAAATTTGCTACGACCGTACTGGCCTCAACTTCCACCGTTGGCCAGGTGGCTCCAGTTTGGACGGAGACTCACGGACAGGGTGAGTTATGTGATGTTCGTTGGATACTCCGGACGCACATCCTAACCTGCTACCCACTGATTTCACATAACAGAATATACTGTCACTGTGCATTGAGGAAAGCAGGGCAGGAGTTTGTTAGAGCGCCCACCTGATTCAGGGACGGCTTCTTGTGCGCTGCTACCATGCAGGCATCGGACCCAGCAAGAGCAGGTGTGCCTTTCATTCGGTAAGAGCGTTTGGGTGAGAATAGAACACAAGCTTGTTGGTGCCAAACTTGGGAAGCATTGACGTGACCCTCCAATCAACAGGCCACGAACACCTAATTGCAGCCGAAGCCCAAGCTGCAGACCCCTTGATAGGGCACCTCTAAGGCGGACTCCATGCGGCCGGTGCACCTGTGTCCGTCCGTGACCCTCCAGGCATCATGCCTTCTGCAGCCCTTGTGCAGAACGGGTTGAGCAGAGCCGTGAGCAGGCACCAAGTGAACGGGAAGCATTTTCGGTTGCGCAGAACGAATAGGTCGCCAGTTTAATTTGGGTGAAGTGCATATTGAACCTGAACTGGCAAGTGCGTTCATAGTCATAGTCTTGAGTCATAGTGTATTGAGGTAGGCTTGCCCCACTTTATGGTGGACAGTGTCATGAGACCAAGTCACATCATAACCATTCACTGAAATGCGTATGATTTTGCACTTTATCCCAGCTGGCTAAGATTACCTTGCAGTATATATATAGTTATACCTATACTAACCAATCGTTTTTAGCGACATCCACTTAAGAGGGTTTGTCCGAGAAAACGAGAAAACCGGGCTATCTATACTTTGTGTGCATATTATATGATTATATGCAATGGCCTCCACCCTAAGAGCGAGGGCCTCCAACCACCTACTAGTGATACTCTGGGTGCATATTATATCTATAATTATACAAATTACAATAGAAAAGGGATGCATCGATGTCTCAAAGACATTGGTCAGCTTTGATGTGAGGCGTGCCCTATTTGTCGGACGGTGGTCACTGGGCGCTTCGAGACGTACAGTGGCTGAGAAAAGTGCCCGAGAACGTCTCAAGTGGGCGCCGCAGAGTCGTAGAGGCGGATAATTTTGCGCCAGGCCTTCACCTGGTGGATTTCAAAGTGGATCTCTTAGTCGCTTTCCTTTGTTGCTTTAGCACTATAGATGGACATTGACTTCACTTTCCAGCTTCACTGCTTTATCCATCCGCTTTTTTAGATTCACTTTTTAGTTCATGTTTTCTTCTGGGGTGAATCTGAAGACATCAATTCAAGTGCACTTTCTTTGCTAAATGGTGAATTAAGTGAGGGCTAAGGTATTTCGAGGTTCCTCCACAACCATGGCGCATTTCGAGGTTCCTCCGAAGCAGCATGAGTTTCAGACATTGCGCTCAAGCTGGTGAGAGTGCCTCCGGAAAGATGCTCATGTCGGTGCAGAGCCCGCTAGATCAGAATCCGCACGGGGTGGTCTGTCCTGTCACATCGAAGCAAATTCCATCCTCTTGACAATTAGTTCGTTAACATGTACAAACTTGCCGCCGTGGAGCCCATGGTGAATGATGGCCAGGCAGCTTGGGTGACCGAAGAAATGTCTGAACGATGTAGGTTGACATGTCGTGGACATAGAGTTGAGGCATACCTGAGGATGGCCCGTGCTTGGGCCGTAGGGATCCGTAGGGATGATGGAGTGTACCAGCCATCTATAACCATCTACTATTAGTATCAAAGGGCATTGCTACTAGGAGCAAGGACGCTACTAGTAGCTCCTGGCATTACTACTAATAACAAGAAGCTACTAGTAACAAGTGCATCGCTATTTGGTAGCTAGGGCATCACTACTGCCGGTGCTATCTCGAACATCGCCTCACCGTTTGCACTCAGTCCTCTCGCCTCGTTTGAAGGCCAGGTCGTGAGGGCCAGAGACGAAGAGGGGACGCAAACGACGCTGATTGGCTGTTGGACATGGGTTGGGGTTGCTGGGCGTTTGGCAGCTTTTGGTCAAACACATGCTTTTGAACTACAACATTTCACAGACTTTGCTGAACCTGGCGTCAGATCTTCGACTCACTTGGCGTCAGTTGATCGGTGATTGGTAGGTATTCCATGGTATTCCGATGTATTCCGTATTCCCGAAAAGTGAAGGCGATGCACTTGTTACTCGTAGCTTCTTTGTTACTACTAGTAAGCACCTGTTACTACTAGCGATGCACTTGTTACTAGTAGCTAAGGCACCTGTTGTTGAATTGGAAGCCTAGGAACCTCCCCCCAAGCGTAGGATTGGCTGCTGATCGGCAACAAATCCGCAGCCGACGAGAGATTCTTGGAGAGGCAGCTTGCGCACTGAAAGAAGTGGGGGGAACAGAGAGACCATGGGTCACATGCATGTCAAGTTAGGTATCGGTATGATTTGGCATGATGGCTGATGAATGAAAGTCACCTGAAAGAACGAAAGTGCATTCCTGGTTCTAGTAGATCCCTTTGCTAGTAGCTTCTTGTTACTACTAGTAAGGCACCTGTTACTAGTAGCGATGCACTTGTTTCTACTAGCTGATGGATGATGATGGCTGGTTGGCTTCCACATTTGATGAGACGAGGAAGCGTCCAGTCCGTCCGTCCGTCCGACAGGAATGGCATCCAGTCGGTCCTGAGCTGCTGCGAGAGGACGGTGAAGCCTTCCAGGTCGGCGTGAGACCTGGGCACCGGGGGACTCAGTTACCATCCCATCTGCGAAAGTTGAGTTAGAGCCAGGAGTTCACAAATGCCGTTGGTGCGGTTTTGATCTGGATTGACCACTTCATTGAAACGGCAATCTGGAAAACTTTCCTGGCTGGGTCATGAAGCTTGGTACTTCTGAGTCTTTCTGCGTTCTTGTGGCACCGATGAGTGCACCGCTGGTCTTTCCAGGATCGAAAGCGCCCTGCCAGACTCTGTGCGTACCTGTGTGCTCCCCTTGTCTGGAACTCGGCACCAGCGGACACCGGGAACCGGTCGAACACATTGATAGCCTCCAGCGCACGTTTTTTGCAACAGAATCCTGGCTGTGTTTTTTTTCGCCTGGTCCCAGCGGGATGAGGACAACGAAAGCAGAATGCGAAAGGAAACGGATGGCGATGCGAAAGGATGCGTCCACTCGAGAGGAAGAGGATTGGAGCGTCGACTCGTTGAGGCGTGATTTGCCCGAAGAGCAGCTTCAGCAACTCGACTCATTTTTGGTCATGCTCAGCAGCTCGACGTCGATTTTTTTGGGTAAGACGGTCTTCACAGACGACAGGCGCCACTGCCATGAGGGATTTTTCAGGAAAGAGGCTTGAGGATGTTGAGGCGAAGCTCCTTCCTAGCATCGTTGAGCTTTGAACATTACTTTTAACTATTGTTTCTACTAGTTCTACTAGCATACATAGTTACTACTAGTAAGGCACTTGTTCCTAGTAGCGATGCCCTTGTTTCTAATTTCAAAACGCGTAACTTGCTGAAATCTCTCGAGGCTTCAGGAGATCTCAGGAGGACCAACTCCGTTGAAGCCTCGACGGTTTCCAGGCCTTTTCTGCAGAATGCCTGGGACTTTCTGGCCGAGGCGCTCGTGTGGTGCTCTCTCTAATTCACCCTAGCTGTCGAACCCTTTGTTGACTTGGTGTTCTTGATCGCCCTGTGTGTTGTTGTGCCTGGTTTGGCGTTTTCGCTTTACATCCCTTGGGTTCTGAATTTCTTTCCCCCCCACCCTCCACCAAGAAATTCTGAACAACTTCTGGAGCAGCCAGACTCTGTGGAACACTCAGGTGCATGCCTTTTTTGCTGAATGTTCCGGGAGTGTGGGCCCGTGTGGGTAGCCCTCTGCAGGAACCCCTTGTCCTGCAAGGAAAAGTGCAGACTTGTGAACGCAGTGGTCAGCATCTCTAGAGCCCAAGTGCTTTGCTTGACCAAGCCCTGGGCTGGGAAGGTGGGCCTGCTGGGCTGCCACCCAGCAGGCCCATCTGGCAGGATTGATCAAGCGCTTTGAGCATTGAAAATGCTGCTGAGGGCAGGTGGTGGTGGTGGTGGTGGTAGAGAGAGAGAGAGAGAGACAGAAAAAGATAGGTAATCAGGCACACTGCCTGAAAAAGTGGACGTGGAACATGGCCCTGAGAGGAGCATTTCTTCTACAAACAGGAGTTGTAGTAATAATTGGGTGTTTTTGCAACTAGAGGCTACTAGGTGGAGGCCGTTATTAGGTTATTAGGTTGGCGGCCATTACATGCCATGACTACTAGTAGCAACTACTAGTAACAAGGGCATCGCTACTAGCAACAAGGGCATTACTACTAGGAACCAAGAAGCTACTAGTAACAAGAAAGCTACTAGGGGCTGCTGGCATCGCTATGAACGGAGCAAGTACGCTACTAGGGGCTCCCAGCCATACTACTTGGAGCAAGTAGCTACTAGTAACAAGAAAGCTTTCTAGTATGTTTTTTGAACCTAACCTTTCTAGTCCTCACCTCGCGTCCGCTTCCAGGCGAAGGCTCAAGACGAGAAGCCGGTCACTCGGGATGACGCGGTCCCACGGGCGTGAAACGAGGGAAACGTTCGGCTGGAAACCATCATGCGGCTGTTCCTGCGCTCGTAGAAAAGGAGGAAGGTTCCTGAGAACGGGCAATTTTTTGTTCCGACTTCCTGTGAATGGTCTCAGGTGCTAAATGACGTCGGACACGCTCAAAAACGTGTGGTTCTCAGGTGCTTGATCCACTTGTATGCTGGCTCCAGCCGTTCGTGCGCGATCGCTGGGGCCTTGGATTCCGCGAGTCGCCTGAACGGTCAAATCGATTTTAGATTTGGATGGTAGCTATGTAGCTTTGGCAGGTTTTCAAGAGGAGTGGTCACCAGCGCATGCAGAGATCATGACGGAAGAGAATTGAACCCTTGGTATCCCTTGGTCACATGGAAAGACTCCTGTACCGAGGCCTTGTCCTACTTGATCGGTTGTGAGGGGCTTCCCCTCCGTGATGCATGGGACAGGTTCTCAAGACTCGTGCGGGTGCAGCGGTGCATTAGAAGCGCCGAGACAGAACGAACTTGATCTCGTTCAAAGCACCGGTGTGGTTGAAGAACGCCATGTCGCTTCTAGTTTCTGCCGTCGCCTGGATGCTAAGCCTCGCCTGGCCTGGAGACTACCCCAGCCACTACCACGGATGGCGTGGTGTTGAGCGAAAACAACAGAGGTATTACTCATCAGAGCTATTTCGTCCCTCTAGGCCGAGAAGGGTTCTTCCGGCTTTTCGTCAGTGCGGCGCTCTGCGCTTCGTCGGCGCTTCTTCCTAGGAGCGCTTGTGCGAACGGCGGCCGGGCGCCCGCCCCAACCGCGGCTTTGCACAGCAGTCACCTGGACAAACTGAGAGCCGCAGCGGCAAGTCCAGTGCCAGTCCGGGTGTTGTTGGCTAATTACGGGTAATTAGTCAGGCGGCGACATCCCTTTTGCAATTTAGCCTGAAACTAAGCTCAAAAAAGAGTTGTGCGTATAGATGCACATCGTTTGTTGATGAATTGTGTCCAATCCACCAGCCCAAAGAGCTCGAGTAGACCTCAATGACAGGACCTGCACCTGAGCTCCACGCATCCAAGGTTAATCGATCTGGATCGGGCAGTCCATGGCTGCACGTCAGTCTGGGTGCCCAAGGGAGCCACTGTCAGACACGCGCACCGCGTGCGGCACAGGCCTCCAACCCAATAGCAATGGCCTCCAACCTAATAGCAACGGCCTCCAACCTAATAGCAACGGCCTCCAACCCAATAGCAATGGCCTCCAACCTGAATATTAAATAGCATTGGCCTCCAACCTAATAGCAATGGCCTCCAACCTAAATAGCAATGGCCTCCAACCTATATAGCAATGACCTCCAACCTAAATAGCAACGGCCTCAAACCTAATAGCAATGGCCTCCAACCTAATAGCAACAGCCTCCAACCTAATAGCAACCGCCTCAAACCTAATAGCAATGGCCTCCAACCTAATTAAATAGCAACAGCCTCCAACCTAATAGCCGGCCTCCAACCTAGTAGCAACGGCCTCCAACCTAAATAGCAAGGGCCTCCAACCTAATAGCAACGGCCTCCAACCCAATAGAAATGGCCTTCAACCTAAATAGCAGTGGCCTCCAACCTAATAGCAACGGCCTCCAACCCAAATAGCAATGGCCTCCAACCCAATAGCAATGGCCTCCAACCTAATATCAATGGCCTCCAACCGAATAGCAATGGCCTCCAACCTAAATAGCAATGGCCTCCAACCTAATAGCAATGGCCTCCAACCTAAATAGCAATGGCCTCCAACCTAATAGCAATGGCCTCCAACCTAATAGCAATGGCCTCCAACCATAATAGCAATGGCTTTCCACCTAATAGCAATGGCCTCCAACCTAATATCAATGGCCTCCGATCTAAATAGCAATGGCCTCCAACCTTATAGCAATGGCCTCCAACCTAGATAGCAATGGCCTCCAACCTAATAGCAATGGCCTCCTACCTAATAGCAATTGCCCCAAGCTAATAGCAACGGCCTCCAACCTAATAGCAACGGCCTCCAACCTAAATAGCAATGGCCTCCAACCTAATAGCAATGGCCTCCAACCTAATAGCAATGGCCTTCAACCTAATAGCAAGGGCCTCCAACCTAAATAGCAATGGCCTCGAACCTAAATAGCAATGGCCTCCAACCTAAATAGCAATGGCCTCCAACCCAATAGCAACAGCCTCCAACCCAATAGCAATGGCCGCCAACCTAATACTAATAGCAATGGCCGCCAACCTAATACTAATAGCAATGGCCTCCAACCTGAATAGCAATGGCCTCCAACCGAATAGCAATGGCCTCCAACCTAATAGCAATGGTCTCCAATCTTGATAGCAATGGCCTCCAACCGAATAGCCATGGCCTCCAACCTAATAGCAATGGCCTCCAACCTAATAGCAATGGCCTGCAACCCAATAGCAATGGCATCTAACCCAATAGCAATGTCCTCCAACCTATTATCAATGGCCTTCCATCTAAATAGCAATGGCCACCAACCTAATAGCAATGGCCTCCAACCTAAATAGCAATGGCCTCCAACCTAATGGCAATGGCCTCCAACCTGGCCTCCAACCTAATAGCAATGGCCTCCAACCTAATAGCAATGGCCCCCAACCTAATAGCAATGGCCTCCAACCCAATAGCAATGGCCTCCAACCCAATAGAAATGGCCTCCAACCCCACAGCAATGGCCTCCAACCCAGTAGCGATGGCCTCCAACCTACTAGCAATGGCCTCCAACCCAATAGCAAGGGCCTCCAATCCAATAGTAATGGTCTCCAACCCAATAGCAATGTCATGCAACCCTATAGCAATGGCCTCCAACCCAATAGCAATGGCACCCAACCTAATAGCAA